ATTCGAAAATATTGGTAAGTAAAGTATAAAAATAAATACATAATAGGTATGTCTATTTATATTTGCAAAATAAATTTAAATCGTAAGTTATTGTACACGTAAAATATTAAAATGTATTACTCGAATACTTAAAATGTTTGTTTAAATGTTGTGAAACTAGATTTTCTAGCCTACATAGTACATAATATTGTTATATACAAATAGGTATACAATTGGGCAGACAGTGGCTTTAATTAAAAGATGGTTTGTGTATAAGAGTGAATATTTAAAATATTACGGCAGCAATGCAGCATAATTTACGACGTGTATAGTGTGTATACATTGTATATTTGCTCGATCCGTCACAGACGAAGGTCGATAAAATAATAAACATCGCTCACGAATGAGCACAATCGTCGGCCGGCAGCCGACAATGTATAGTGGGCGCGGCTTAAACGTCGCGTGCTTGCGGATCACGAAAACACCTAACAGCGCATTCTCTTGGTCGTTGCTTGTTTTCGTTTGCCTGTGTAGCGTCCTCTTAATTTATACACTGTTACCGAATAAACAGGAAAAAACATGTGATACATTTTTTATTATGTTAAATTAATTAAAACCTGGTTTAAATCCAAAGTCCGTGTCATGTGATTTTGAATTATCAGTAATAAAATACCATAAAAAAAAAATACCCTGACACTGAAATTCACGGTTGTTTGTATCATCTAACAAAAAACGTTCATAAAAAAATTAACGTAATGGGTTTTGCTTCAAGGTATAAAAATTATGCTGATTTTTCATTATTTATTAAAATRGTTGTAGCTCTTTCATTTGTTCCAATCGAAGACCTAGATGCCACTATACAACAATTAGGAGATGATTTACCAGAATACTTACAACCTTTACTTGACTGGTTTGAGGACAATTATGTTGGGAGGGTTAATAGAAACGGAAGAGGTCGTCGGGCAGCATTATTCCCACCACACATTTGGAATTTTCACCTACGAGTTTTGAATAATGGTCAAGATAGGACTAACAACCATGCTGAAGCAGCTAATAGACGACTAAATGTCGAAATGGGAGTTCAACATCGTAGTTTGTGGTCTTTCATCAACTGTTTGCGAAAAGTACAAGCTGGGCGAGATGTATTTTACAGCCAACTTGAAGCAAGTAAAAGTCCCCCCTAAAAAATTAAAGAAAATTATTGATGCCGATAAACGTATTTTAAAAATTGTTCAAAGTTAAGAAAATAKAACTAAAATATCTTTTTTACGCGGAATCGCTCAAAATATTTCTCTGCATTAAAACAATATCATTTTTTAGTATTATTATAACACACGATACTTTATAGTTAATATAAATGACTTAATAGTTTTGACATAAAAAACTTCTTAGATATTTTTGATGTATTATAACACATTAGTATAACTAACTAATATAATTTGTTTTAGATATATTTTTAATTTTTA